ATTCGGATCCTGCACTTCCGATTCCCTCCGCTTGAGGATTCTTGCTGACCCTTGACTCCGACCAGCTGGCAGCCTCAGCACACTTCTGCCATGAGTACTACGTACTCCATTCGCTATCTCTTTTTTCCCCAGCTGGGTTGCCATTTCATTCATAAAGTTATGGGATTACACTTAGAGAAAAAAGTGTGTATCTGCGTATAAAAATGAAAATTTGTAAACAAAAAACATTTCTTAATAAACGCTTTTATAGATTTTCTTTTGTTTTCATTCCTTCCATTCATTAAGATGATCATTTAGTAAACGAATTTTCTTCCAGTGCAGCCAATTATTCGGTTCCTACGTGCAGAAGCATTCACTTCCGTTCTACTTCCGTTCTGCCTCGGCCAGCTGAAAGAAGAGAAAAAAAACTGCAGCTGGCTGTCTTCGGGTCGCCGGCAATCCGCTTCCGCAGCTCTTCCTCTTACTCTTCCTCAAACCACCCCGACTTCTTTTGTATTTAATTACTGGTTACGGTTCTTAGCGCTGTTTCTATCGCTTCATCACCATCCTTCTCCTCTCCTTACCATTATTATGATGGTTCTGCGTGTGTGCCCCTTGTTGTGGCATTGTCCAAAGTGCTCTTTTGTCGCACACGTATCACCGTAAGAAGCGATTTAAATTCCTAACAACCCCAAATGGCGAAAGATGACGCAGTTCCGAAAAAGAGGAGGAAGTGCCCGGAAATAATCAGTGATTGTAATCTGAACAGCGAGATACTCTTCACGGCTTCTAGAATTCTCAATGGGCAAGAAGATCTTAAGAGATCTGTTCGGTATTAGCAATCAGGGTGTTAACTTTATGTGATATTTTAAGTGGTTGCAAGACTCTTCTAGGAATAGATATCCTATCTAAAAAAAATACATATTAATTCTAACTAATAGCTTGAGTAAAAAAGAAAACAATATCTGGGATTTTCCAAGCAATTCTCATTCTTATTTCCACCCATAAAAAACGCTTTCACAATCGCCATGCCAAAGCTTTTAAGACTCTTTCACTCAACGAAGAATCCATTCATTCATAAAATAAAGAGTCGCGTAGATCAACTTGGTTCTTATTGAGGCGACAACGGAAGTCGTAAGCCATGAAGGCTCAACAATTGAGGCAACCATAAAATATAAAAAATAATACTTAAATCTTGCACTTAAATGCTCTGCCAGTTCTGACCGCGACTGATCTGGGGGAGGAAGGAGAAAAGGGGGGACACCCTTACCTACTTAAACTAAACTCGCAGCCCATAAATTAGCCAAGATCAACGAAATGGAAAGGAGGAGAAGTAGGAGGAGGCCTCCATCTCTCCAAGGCAAACTGCTACTATATAAATATACATGAATATATACTATATATACATATATATATCTTTATAAATCGAAAAACTGCAAGAGCCCAGAGGCCATTTAATTAACAAAAACCAGCAGTAGCAGCGCACTGAATGAGCTTTCATTTCCGCTACAACAGCCAGCCAGCCATCCTGCCAGCGATCCAGGCAACCAGGCAGCCACTTGGGGCATGAATGAAAATATTAAAAGATATCGATCGCCCGGATCGATCGACGGTGCGGTGGTGCCTCGATCCAATCTCACTACTCTCCATCCATCCCTGTTGCAACCGAAAACTCTTTCTGCCACCAGATTTCTGGTTTCTCAGTGCGGTTTGGGGCAAAGAAAAAGAAAAAGGCAACAGGCAAAAGGCCGCAAAATAATATCTATATACACATATGCAAGACGATCTGCAAGTGATCTGCCAGAGTCTGTCTCCTCGGCTTTAAAGACCGTCTTTAGGAGCCAACCAGATTGGAGGCAATTACAGTGGAGATTCGACTACATAAATTACTATACTTTGTTTCAGGAATTACTTTTAGGAAAAGTTAAGTTTTATGTTTTTATATAACTTTTTAATTACTAACAACTTTAATCAAAGTTCACCCTTTGGAAGCTTGACTGTAGTTGCCTTAGCTAGATTTACCCCCTGTATAAATTGCTCGTAGACACGTACACACTCACATCGCAAAGTCCATATGTTAAGTGACTGACGGATTTGGATTTGGCGGTGGGTAACGCCTCCAACTTCCGTTTGCTGTTTTGGCTTTGGTTTTTAAGTGCAGGCAGGCCGGCGAACGCAAGAGGGAAAATAAATGTATTCCCCGGTAGAAGTGGCTGTGTGTAGATGCAGATGATCGGTGATGGTGATCCACTCGCTCCACCATTCGGCGGTTGGATGACGATGGTGATGTCAGTGGGAGACGACGCGGATGAGGATGTGCGAGAGTGGGGCGTGTTTGGCTTAGATTGTGCCTTCGATAAAGTGAAACTCTTTGATGTACGAGCACGGGGGCTGATCGAGGCGGATCCGATGAGACCGGAGGATAAACAACCTGGCCAAAGAGTTAAAAAGTCTGAAAGAGCGGCGAAGATTGCCGGATCGCTGCTTAATTAGCCACGGTGACCCTCAAGGCTATGTTTCCCGAAAGGTGGAACAACGTTCGGGAGAAAGGGGGGCAAACTTTTAATTGAATTCGATGGGGAAGTTATTTCTTTCTTTTTTTGGAAGAGGAAACAACAATCCTGAGATCATCATCGTTTCCCTAAATACGATTGATCAGGCGATGGTTTTATTTTTAGTGTTTACTTAAAAGCTGTGGAAATTTTAAAGCAGCAATTAAGATGTTTACTTTTGTTTATATTAAATCCAAAGAGGTTTTTGGTAACAAATTGCCATGATTATCTTAAATGTATACGAAATTTAAATTTATTTATCTTAACTTTTTAGTACAGAATGAAAAAGGAACTTCCCCGAGAATACAATAACTTCCAATCACTTCCCTTGGCTAACCCCAAAAGCAATGAACCCTCTGTCTGTCCATTGATCTCCTCACCCTCACCCTTATTAACCCCAGACATATCCCGTTACCACATTTTGACACTTGTAGTGTCCCCAATTCTCAGGGGTTAAGGGTTGAAGCACCGTCGGTCACCTGTTTAACCCCCGTGGCCAAAATGTAATGACAAACCCCAAAACGGGAAGTGGAAGTGGTTTGGGCTCTGTCCTACCATTCGTGTGTGAGAACGGATGTTTTGGCCAGCTTGAAACAATTACGCGGATGAAGAGAAACAAAGGCCAGAAACCAAGTGATCGGAGTGGCCTGCTATTACAGATTTAATTATATAATTAATAAATGTAATCAACGGCCAGCCAAAGACAAGGGCCAACGTAGAAGACCATCTGGCCGAGGAACACTCACTGGCACGCATGCGCAGCAGCATCGAAAGGAAGTTGTCGCTGGGAGAAAGGAGAGAAGGGGGTCTGCAAAACTAAAGAACTGAAAGAATCCCCAACCCTTTGAGCAGAAGAAGCAGAGCTCCCCCAGCTGCAAGTCAACGGAAATCGCAAAGGCAAAAAAGCAAACGGGCAAAGAGGCAAAAGCGACAAAACAGCCACGAACGACGACGATGGCCCAGCAGCATTCTTGGGCAGAAATGAAGTGCAGATCTAAAGTAGAATTGGATCAGGTCGGGGGAATGGACATGGACATGTGGGCCTGGAGCAGGGGTTAGCATACGATCACATGTGTGTGCCGGCAGAGTGTAAGCTTAGATTGTGGAGACTTGCTGGATGAGCTACTAAGGGTTCTGATTAACTTAGTTTAAATTCTAAAACAGTTCAAAATTAAAATAAGATATGCGTTGGAAATTAAATTTTGTCATCAAAAACTTATTTCTAACTGTAAAATCATACATTTTCCTCCAACTAATATGCCCTATAATCTATTGTAGGGTATTTCCCGCACAAAAATCAGTATTAAAGCTGGCAAAAAGTAAGAAGGAAGAACGAGGGAGAGGAAGAGGGAGAAGGAAGACGTTAAAACGAATGACGATGAATGACGGGAAGCGCGCAGCTTAGCAGCGCTCTCTTGGATAATTGAGGAAGTTATAATTGCCAATGAATGCCTCCTGCTCCTGCTCCTGCACCAGCTCTGGCTCCAGCTCCTCCTCCTTCTCCTTCACCCTCTCCTGGTAAGAAGTCAAGAGCGGTACGGGAAGCAGAACATACATAAACCCTTTGGCACAAGATCGAAGAAGCGACAAAAAGCGACAGAGGTGGAAAGGAAACAGTTGTTGTCTTTGGCAACGGGAAACAGGACATGTCTGCGCATAAATTGAAATGAGTGTTGTCGTTCCTTTTTTTTCTTTCTTTCTTTTTTTTTGTATCATCATCAACGGAAGGACAATAATTGAGGGCCCGGCTGAGCTGGTGGTTATTATGATGGAATTCAGTAAACGTTTTGCGACGCAATTCGTTCGGGCGATGAGCTAATAACTATTTGCCCAGCTCCCTTCCTCTCCCCTCCCCACCCCACCGCAACACAATTGCATCACGCACATCCAGTGGGAATATAATGGAAATGAAAACCGCACCACCTGTGTCAACAATGAAAAGCTGAAAGCCCCGCCAAAGGTAGCAAATCAAACAAACAAGCTCATCGGAGACCAGGGCCTGGGCCTGGGCCTCCTTATTATTATTATATATACTTGATACTTGACACGATTTCGAAGACAACACATCACACATATATATATGTATTCCAAAGACAAGGACTTTCTTTGTGTGTCCATTGTGCCCATAGAAGAAGTCTACCCCAACCATTGCGATCTTCACCGTCGTGGATCTGCAGGAATCCTAAATAAATGCGTGCCTATTGAATGGAACCTTTTGTGGCAGAATAGTTAAATATTTGCCAGCGAATAGATTGTGATCATGGGGTAGAAGAATATTGAAAAGATATATATTGGTTATATACATTATAAACCTGATAATAGGGATTGTGGCTAAAAGAACTTAAATATGACAAAGCAATGATAATAATATGAAAAATAGTAATAAATATTGCACCCCGAAAGATAAATGATTATATTTCCCCTTTAAGGGAGTCTAACATTCTTATTTATTTCTCTCACTGCACTTACCTCCTTGCTGGGCACGCAAATTGGTGTGCCCACTTTGACAATGCCGTTCTCCACCATCACGCCCATCACGATCGGATCTCGGCTGTTGAATATGAACTGTGGCAGTATCTGTGGGATGGAATCGAAGAGATAGGATAAAATTAGATCAATGACTGTTAGATGGACGATGATTTTGTGGGGCATAACTAATAAGCGGCTCAATCGGGAGCGATCGATAACGATGGGCCGTCTCTTAACTACTTTTTAAATAATGTTCGATAATTATAGTGGCTTAGGCGATGCCAGCAACGGATTTCGTAAGATAACATAACAACTTTATGTCGGTTATGATGCTGGATGCTCTACAAAGGGGGTATTAAGACTTATGGGTTAAGTTTAAGAAATAAGAATGAAAGTTATATGCTTTCTTACTTTACTTAGGGAACTTTTAGGGGAACTTTTTGACTTTCTTTCAAAATAGCTAATCCCTACCAAAGACAAAACTCTCTTTTCTAGTGCATTTTCCTATCGTTGTAGCCCATTAATAAACTGTAACAGCCAGCCCCAGACCGAAAACAACTTTGACTGCGCCAAGAACAACTTAATTTCCGTTGCGTCAACTGTTGAAGAGGCCTCAAATGGGGTACCGCCTGCAGCAGCCGTTGAAGAAGCGGCACAATCAGAAACAGCCGGCATAGAAAATGGATTGTTGGTACGCTGCCGGGAAAAGGAAAAACGAAAAGTGGCCCAGAGAACACGTTTCTCGAGCTCAAGCTCCACATGCACATTGCCTATTCTCCATCTACCAGGCAACTCCTTAAGACAGAAGGCGAGTTAATAACTCAAACTAAACAACGTCATTGTTATTACAAGACCTGCGACTGGGACTTCCACTCTGGAGAATCGTTAAGTTCAAGCTGGCGGAATGCACTTAAAGAAATCCTTAATAGTTCCTAATGCATTAGACTTTAAATGGATTAGGATTAGTATTTCATATTTTATGATCTTAAAGGTAACATTTCGAGTGCAAAAGATCGAACGAATGCTACCAACAGCTGGGCGCTGTGTGTCCAATTACCGGCACAGTGGGAGCCCAGTGGCTAGAAGTGGTCTAGAGTGGTGTAGAGTGGACCAAAGTGGCCCCGAGTGGAGTGTGGCGTGTTGAGTCCCAACATTGCATACGACCAAAATCTAATGATTGCCTATAAATCAAATACGCTGTTTAAACATTATTTGAGCAGGAAGTGTGGACGTGATGCAGGCGTCCGTTGGGATCTAAAGCTTTAATCGCTTGTTGAGTGGTTGTCTTGGCCTGGCTTATACCGTATATACACATCGTACATATCGTAGCCCCCAGCCCGGAGTTTAAGCCCGCTCTCCGTTCTTGTTGGCCAGCATCATTAAGCCAGCGTCAAGACGAGACAAGCCACAGCTGGAGATCCATTCTGGGTCTTGCAAGTTGGACTTGGAGTTGGAGTCTTGGTCTCATTCTCATTTTCAGTTTGCGGCAGATTGCATTTTACACCTGTAGCTTTCGGGGGTAATTGCAGCTGGGCGGAAGGTGCCCCAAGGAGGGAAGTGTGTGTGGAGGAAATGGAACACGAACATGGGCACATTAAAATAATGCCCATAATGACACCAAGACTTTTCGTTTTCTGTCTTTAAGTCCTAACAACTGATACGTACACTTCAAAAGTTTACTTACTAACTTAACTAACTTAACTAACATAAAAGGTAAATTTATACTACTCACCCTTAGTTTGCAGGGGAAGACGGCTACGGATCTGAACTCTTCGCGTTTCTTCTGCTTGAGTTCATCGCGATAGGCTGTGAACTTGTCGAAGAGATGATAGATAATGTCCGCCTGGAATATTTTCACGCCCAAAGAATCGGCCATTTCCTGTGCCTCCCGCTCGATCTTCACATCAAAAGCCAGAATCGTTGCATACCTAAAGGGGCAGCAAGAAAAAGATAAATAGAGATCGTTGTAATTTAAAACAATTAAAAGTATATGCAATCAGAGAGAGAGAGAGAGGAAGGCGCAGCCAACGAGCATAATAATAATAACAATAACCATAATGGCACTGCAGCCTCGTCGCCGGCATGGTCTTCCTGTCTGGCGAAGAAGAGTTGGCCTAATGATCGGGCCACATGGCCACGATCCGAGGCACCAGGAAGCGTTAATAATTGAAATCACAAACAACCTCGACGGATAAAAATCCAACTGATGGCCGGTCAAGTCAGCTCAAGATGTTGTTTGTTTAGCTTGGTTAACTTTTGCCGTGGCGGGGCGCTGTTTTCAATGACAGGAAATGGTTGGCATTTCGAGAATCGAAACTCTCTGTCGACAGGAAAAGGTCCCAAACTCAAAGTGGAGTCGGCTAATGAGGGGCACTCTTTGGGTTCTCTCGAACGTATACTACAGTCGTATATCAGAAATGGAAATGGGTTTGGGGATTTAAATTTGTTTGGGTAGAGGCGAAAACAGTTTAGGATAGAACCCACGACTAATCGATCTATGAATTATGATCAATTTTGAAAAGCAAGGGGAACTAATATGGGGGAGATTAATAAAGAGAGAGAGGAAAGGGTAGACTATTAAATTGTGATATATGGGTTAAGTTTTGGATATACAGAAAGGTAAGGAAACACCTTAAAAGTTGATTGGATAAAGGAAAGTGGCGAGTTCTCAGAGGTTTTAATATTGTTAAGATCTTAAATTTATGTTTTCTTTAAGATAGGATCTAATTTATATTTATAAATATATTAGAGTCTGAGCAATAATGGATCTATGACCTCTGACAATTAAGACACTCCCAAAACAATCGCTTTCAGAGCCAACTTTTACGAGGATCATCGATTGGGAAGTGGGAACCCCTGAAGGGGGGTAATAAATAGCCAACCATTGTTGGAGCAGATCACTTTCGAGTGAACGAGCCAATTTTATGCATAAGAGATCACATAAAAACAGTTAAATATTTTATGATACTCGTAAAAGCGACAGCCAGGGATATACCCTAAAAGTAGAACCCATCGAAGGCACTTCCCTACCCTTCCCCAGACAGACGATTTTTATGGTCGCTGCTCGCAGCGTAAAATGCAAAATTTTATGGTTCGAAAATTCCACACGCGTAAAAATCATAAATAAATGAAGAGCAGACCCAGCCACACATAGTTAAAAAGATAGTGTTGCCTACATACAAATATCTCTGGCGGATGGACTAAAAATCAAGCATAACTCAAAGTGAAGGCACGCATGCGCAAAAGGGCCGGAAACGGAAGTGCTATGTCTTGGGCGTAGATACAACAGATACGAGATACCAACACCAGATACAATTGTAGTTACATTTCTATATTTGCCACATTCGAAAATGGTTTTGTTTCACCGTTTTCCTCCATGTGACAGCGTAATTTGAGTGGGCCGTAAATGTATCTGCATCTTGCATTCAGCATTCGGCATACGGCATTCTGCACTCGCCAGCTTTTATTGTTGCCAAGCAGAGCACGAAAATAGTTTGCAATTGGAAACCGGCAAAGTAACCGACAACAGGACTGGACTGGACTGGCAAAGTGAGAGATATAGATATATAGTAGACACGACGACTATTTGGCACCACTTAACGCCGCTAATGAGACAAAGCTGCCGGCCCAAAGGTTTCGCTTCTCTATAATAAATCATGGGGCATCCCGGGCTTAGCTTTATCCCCCCACCGGTAAAGTGCATTTTGTGATTGCCGCTAAATGAATCACTTAACCCGACCATCGGCTCCTTCGTCGGCTAATATCAGACGCAATCTTCAAAGATCCGACCATATTCCGCTGTTGTTTATCAAGTGGCGGGTGTGTGTGCCGGGGAATTGTGTTAATGAAGTTAAGCGGCAATAAAATTGCATTGTCCGTTGTCATATATCAAAAAGTCGTTTATTCTCGCTGTCTTGCAGGCCTCTTGCTGGGTTTTAAGTGTTCGAATATAAAGCGGCAATGGCCTACAATGTTGTAGGGAATGGTGGGGAAACTGACGATATATAGTAATGATGAATTGGACAGGGTTGAAGGTGTTAAATGTAAATTGGACACGTTCTGGAGAGGAAGTACTAAAGGCATAAACCAAAAAGGTGGTAAAAGCAAAACAGAGTTCTTCTGCTATATAAAATAAGTAACTTATAAACTTTGTCTGGCCAGATATTCTACTCTAAAATCACCAAAACAGGAAGTATCATAACCCATAGTAACAGAAATTCAACTCCACATTATAAGTTTCTAAAGAATTTCCCAAGTCATAAGATATTTCAACATTGATTACGCCTCAGCTGTTTGTCATTCATAGAAAAACAACCACTGGATCAATTTCCCAGCTTTCGACACATTCGCCGTTTGCGAAATCCCTCAATGGGGGAGTTCAATAAACCCCCCACGAAAGTGAATTTGATAGTGGAAGTTTCACTACTCGGCTGTACGAATTTCCGCATTCAGCAAATTCTTAAGAATTCTGATATTGCACAATGTCCTCTGTGACACATCCGCAAACAAAATAAAAAGAGGGGGAAAGTGAGCATAGAAACGATAAGTTTTGGATTTACTTACTGCGCCTCGTGTTCCAACATTGTGGAGGCCTTCATCACATCGCGTTTCACCACGGGACCAATCCGGATAGCAGAGTACTGGAAAAAAGATAAGAAATGGTTAATGGTAATAAGTTCGAGTCTCTATACACTTTTCATACTAATTAGAATAGTGTTTCTCAGCTTTAATACTGTAAACACATTTAAAGATACTTTCTTGTCAACCATGTGTGACTGCAAAGTTTTCCTTCCTTGTGTTGGCCCAAAAGCATTTGACCCAAAGAAAACTTTGGCTATTTTTAAGTCGAATGGCCATAAAAAAAAAAACTAAAACCAAATAGAAAAATCGAAGAGAGGAGCACAGTCTAAACTAAACAAGCAGTTCACCAAAGTGAAACATTTCCCCAAACGACCAGGAGACATTGGCAAGAGAAGGGTAAAAACTCTGGCGATGAGTTCATTCACATCGAAGATGTTCAATTTTTATTTTATTTATTTGGTTTTCGTCGCCAGATGATTACAAATGATCATTGATAAAAATAACAGCAGTCTGACATGAATGAATGGATGGATGGATGGATAGCTGGCTGGGTGGTTGGTTGGTTGGCTGGCTGGCATCATGGATCCCTTGAGTGGGTTGCTCTGCTGGCTGTGGACTTCCAATGAGTGGAGCAAATGGAATTTGCTGTAGATAGCGAGTTAATTGCGCCACCGGATATGCACGCGCCGCTGATAAGACCAAAATAATGAGAGGAGACTCCCGCCGATTGGACCCATTAACAACTGGCAGTACAACTCGTTTTACTCTCTCTTTTACAGCTGGCTGATAGCTGATAAATTGAAATGTCGGCCTATCGCCTAGATTAATCGGATTAATTTAAATGCCAGTTTATTGCAGGCATAAATTAAGTATTGTTATAAGTCGGGAAACGGTCTAAAAAGCTTTTTGATATACTGCTGCTGTTTGGTGGATATTTTTATGTTTAACCAGGAAAATGTGAGGTGATTTAACACTTTTATAAAGTAATTTCAACCAAATAAGTTTCGGTTAAGAGTTTATTGCAACTATTTATTGATTTTATGGGCAAATGTAAATATTTTCAATTAATTTATATATTGTTTTTCTTCTAGCAAAAGGTCGACACTCTACTGACGTCATATTAAACTGCCGCTGAAGTGTTTCGATTGTAAATTGAATTCAATTACAGCTTAACCCATTCATGAGCATTTCATTCATTACTGCGAAACGCCTCAGCTGCTGACGCTGTTATAAAAGAAATTGTGTGTAACTAACGGAAAGCAAATGGGAAAAAACACAAAAAAACAAAAAGAAAATATAGGAAAATGCGAGAAAACCGGGAGTGAAAGAGTTTTGCAATCAGCAAAACAATGAATGAAATCGGAAGTTTATTGTTGTATGCAATTGCGGCACAGTGGCAGCAAAAGCGAGCAAGAAAGCTCATAGCAATCGAGGAGGCGAGAAGGAGGAAAGAGCATTCGCCGATTGCATGTAAAACGGAAAACGGGTGCAAACGGAAGTGATAGCCAAATGCCCCCATTTATCCACTCAAAAGATTACTTTTTCTAAATGAAAATATTCAAAAATTTACAAGGAAAATACTTAGACGTCATAGAACAAGTTTAACATTATTCTTTATTCTTTAAAATATTATTTTTATAATCCTTATTCAATTTTAAAATTTAAAATTCATTTCCCAGTGGGTTACTATGGGCCCGTAAAAAGGGTGTGGGTGTTGGTGTTCGGGTTTCCACGTGGCAGACGGCAGTCGATTTCCAGCTGAATATCATTTCGCACAAGCAATCAGTACGTGCGACTGACTGACGCAGCAACACACAATGCCACACAGCTCTCCACAATTCCACAATTGGCATCAGCAAAAAGGCCAGAAAAGCCAGAAATCGGAGACGTGAAAGGCGTTTGCCTGTGCTTTTGCGCAGAATTTGTGGGCGGGAAGTGCGTAAGTGGCAAATGGAAACGAACACGAACTGTGCGGCTAATTAGCAGAAGAGCCCGGCTAACGTGGAAGCCAAAGGTGGAGGGACACGCCTACCACCTAACTACCTCCTCCCTCCCACCCATTTCTGCTGACGTCAAGTGGCAACGCCACTCAATGTTATCGATGACACGAGCGAAAAGCCAAGACAGGTGAGAACACTGAGCGAAAAGTTATTAAAGGAATTTTAGTATTTAAATCATTTTTTGGTAGTTTTGAGTATTTTTTGAGATAATCAAACATTTTCTCTTTCATTTTTGATATATCAATGCCTAAGAGAAAAGGTCAATCGAAGAGTTCTTTCTTTCTGTATCTAAAATGTATTATTTCTCTCAGTGCATACAACGATTGTTTAGTTTTTTTTTTTAAACACTTCCTATGATGCCAATTTCGATGCAAAACGACTAAATTAATGGCATATGTCGACTCAACTGACTGACAGACAGCCTAAACAGCTGATTAATGTCGGGGCGAACCTACGTTACGGAATTGGAAAATTGCGCTGATTTCGAGAAAATGCCGCACGTTCCTCAAGAACTTCCGTTTCGCTTTGGGTTTCTTAAATATCTATTATTTTCAACTTCCTTGCCTTCCTAAAAATACAGCCGCTACGTGTTTATGAATGAAAATTAGGCAATAAGCTCTGGAAAGTATCTGTGATACGCCGTATAACCATGTGCATCAGTGTGTGAGTGATAGTGTAGCTGTGTATGTGTGGGGCAGGAAGAATTGCTTCCGTTGTTGTTTTTGTTTTCTTCTTTCCATTTATACATTCATTCATTTACTCATTCACTTGGGTTCACTCATTCATTCATTGTTTTTTTTTCGCTTCTTCCTTCCTTCTTTTTTGATACCCTTGCAGAGGGCAGTCTGACTTTTACCATTCCTTTACCTTATTTAATTACTATTATCTTTAGATTTTACGATTCCAAAAACTTTGAGAATGACTTAAAAATGCCAAATTTTTTACCTAACGTTTTCCTAAAACCAAAAGAGTACCTAAAATTCGACTTTCTTCCCTAATTTTTCTTTCTTTTTTGTTTTCTTGCTGGGGCAATTTGTTTTTGTTGGTTTTGGCAACTGCGTCGCATTAATGAAAACATTGGCATTGTCTGCTTCTTACCTCACTTCCTTCCTGCCAACCGCCATATAATGCCCATCTAGTACTACGAAACACGCTAAACATGAGAAAAAGAACCACGACCGCAGCGAAATTAAATTCATTCATGAAATTCAACGAAGAGCGTCCGAAAAAAAAGACTCACAAACAAAATAGGGGCGGGGAAGAGAGGGTTTAGCACCCAACAATGGACATTTCTGGGTCCGGTCTTTTCCTCGGGGTCGCATTTAGACCCCCCTCTTGCCACAACCCCTTCTCCATTAAAATACTCATGAATGGGCCCCCGAAGACGTCACGCTACTCGATCTAGCCAGTTTTTATGCCTTCAATATTTCCCAAGACATTTGCGTGGTATTTTGTTTTTCGCTCATTAATTGCGTAGTTTTTTTTTCGCCATGCTAAAACGGAATTTAATCACGAGGGAAATATATACTCTATATGTACTAAACTTTGGGATTAAACTGAATTATCCCTAAAAACATAAAACATTTAAAAGATAAGAAATGATTTAAGAATTTAGATTAGTCAACCAAAGTAATATTTTGTAGTATAATAGCCAATATTAAGTATTTCTGATTGATAAATTTATAAATCCAATTTAACTATGATATAGTTTAACCTATCATTTTGATAAACCAATAATTTCCTTTCCATATACTAGTACTTATCTCCTCAAAAATACCAAATTAACCAATGTGGCTAATTATTTCTCCACCTGCTGCGCTGTAACATTGATGTCCACCCAGACGAATATGCTGGCCAAAGTGGCTAATTATCTTAACTGCCGCTACTACTGCAGCAGCTTCTGCCGCGAGTGGGCGAAACCGCAACCATTGCCAGTACATGTGGATGGGGATTTGGATGCGGATTCGCATAGTTTCGAATAGTTTTGCGTTTTGAGTTTTGCATTTCGCATGCAAACGTGCAAATGCGGTGCCAAATGGCGGCCCCAAACGGACGACAAGTCGCCGAGCATGACGAGCGAGTATTTGCGAAACTTTCTGTTGTTTACTTTTAATTAAAATGCATGTGGGAATCAAATTACGTCGGCCATACACATTTGCGGCCGACTGCTAGGTGGTATATCTGCCCACCTGGCACCACCTACCAAATCCGAATCCGAATCTGAATCTGAATCCAAAGCCAGCAACAACAACAAGTGGCACACAATTATGGCAAAGGCAACCGCAGCAACAATGAATGCATTCGCATAGTTGATGGCTACATAATTACATTTTCGCCCAAATGCAGCAACAGCATCTGGCTTGGTGTTTGCGGATCCCACTAGCGGAGATGGAGGATGATGTATCCATTTGTATATATATAGGGAAGAAGATATAGTGGGGTAGGTCGACAGGTCGGAGAACGAAAAGGTGCTGCGAAGGTGTGGGTAAGTACTGGCGAGAAAAATAGTGAGAAAATATGCAGCCATTCTATAGTTATGTTTCTATCAGCTTATAACAATAATATCAAAAACAAGATATTAAAAAATATATTTACTACCAAAATAAGGCTTAGAATATTTGCATTTGATAAAAAAGCTACCATTCCGATAACAAAATTGTATCATTTTAAAATTTAAATACATTAAATACTAAAATTTTACCTCCCAATTTTGCCATCACTAGTAGTAACAGTTAAAAAACGAAGAAGAAGACAGCCAGAGTCTAGCATTTTTTGAGTGCGCAATTTTTTCATTCATGAAAAAGGCAACGAAGAAAAGGCAACGAGGCCAAAAAGAGTTGCGGGCCACATTGTTGTGCAAAGAAAATACAGGTGAATGTGTGTGGCTGTGTGTGTATGTGCGAGTGTGTAGATTGCAAAATTGAATGAATGAACATGAACCCAGCCACGTTGAGGGTGTACAAACCAGCAAATGCAGCCTGCCTGTTGTATAAGCCAAATAGCAGGCTAACCAACTGAGAGAGGTGCATACAGCTTTTTTTATGAATGGCAGCCGGCAGCACCGCTATATTTGGCCGTTGATGGCTACGAGGTGCAAATGTTAATGAAGCCAACGCTGCAACATCAACGGCAAACTAGAGTCAGTGATGGGGGATATATGGATAGAGGTACTTTGGTAGGTACTACATCTATAGGTACTAAAGGTACAAAATGGTATAATCTGGTATATCGACTCGATATCTTTGTAAGGTTTGTATTAAATTAACATATTGTTAGTTATACTTTTGATCTATGTTTTGTACCCCATCAAGTTGCTCATCACTGCAAGCGACGAAAGAAATTGCAGGCCAAATGCATAACGGTGTTTGCAATGGCCCAAAGAGCGAGACAGGGCGATGGAGAGTGGTAGCAGCCGCTCATTCATGTTGTCTTTGGCTTGGTTTTTCCGGCAGGCGATCATAAAATTGTGCAGCCAACGGACCATAAATCTAGCGAAAACATTTTCCATGACGTAACCGAGGAATGTCTGTTGACTGGAGGCGGAAAAATGCATTTTAACATGGCTTTTTATCGGTTCTGTTATTTGGCCCAAAGAATAGATTTATTTTACTTCAACAGTGCCTTTTCAAAAAGCCAAGTCTTAAAAACGCCAACACATTTTTTGGTTAATAGTATCATTTAGTTTTAAATAGCTGAAAATTTATAGGTTATTTTTTAGGGGAATGTAAGCATAAACAACCTTTTTTTTAAGCCTTTCAAATTTAACAATGAATATGGAAATAGTAAAAAATAACTATAAAGTTTAATGAGTAACTAAATATAAGCTTTAAAGTGAAATAATAAATGTTTAATGTTTACAAAATAAATATTATTGATAGTTACATTAGGTTAAACTTTTTTGAAGAAACTACTCCTATTTCCTGAAAGAGATTAGGTTTCAAAGAAAATCGCTTTTTCTCCACATTGTAGGTTGTATAATATACAAAATATTATTAAATTTTCGAAAATATTTCAAAACAATACTAAGTTGTATTGTGGCAATAGTTTAATGGTGATTGTGACGCACTTTCCGCCCAAAACACATGGCCATCAAGCTGGGCAACAAGTGCAATCAATTTTTATGAATGAATCGAAAACTGGGCATTGATCACTAGCTCTTGTTATTGTTGTTGTTGTATTTGTATTTAGTACTTATTGTGTTTGTTGTTATAGCTGCCAGCGTTACGCCCTGCCGCGCTTAGAGGGCGCATAGGGGGACAGGGCAGCGGTGTTTAATTTATCGAAATGTGTAGCAAATGTTTATTTGATCAATGAAATGAATTATTGTACGAGCATCTGTATATCTATATATGTATTTTTGTATCTCTGAAATATCTAGCGAATGAATGAAACAACAACAAAAACAACAGGCACCGACAACACACAGCAATAAAAACAACTATAGATATGACTTCCATAAATGCCTCTCAATATGTGGGACGCAATTAAAAACAAAAATAAAATAAAAGCGGGAGGGCAACACATTTGTAATTGATTTGTTTTCCATACAATTCATTGTCTTCTGTTTGGCTTTATTATTCCCCGTTTTTGGGAACTTGTTAAGGTTTATTTTCGTTTTCATTGTAATTTTTGCGACGCGCTATTGTTAATTAATTAAGTGCAGAAAAAGCATCATGAAATGATGCATGAAGAGATGTAACTCAATTAAGGAAGGAATAATGCTAGTAACTGATATTTCAGTGCAGATATTTAAGAGCTGGCTTTAACATTTTCCTTCTTAACAATAGGATTGCTAATATTATAGTTAGAAGTTTAATATTCATTTCCAAAAAGATGAAGTTTTCCTAACACTTTACTTTGGAAGCCTTAAACCAACTTTTGCTGCAAAGAATACTCTTAACCTTTTCCAAAACCTGTAAGTATATTCCATATCTGCCAGGTGACGAAAGGGGTTTAAAACCATAAAATTCAGATCGGGTGAATACCAATTAATGGAACAGTTCAAGCGAAAGATTGATTGGCAATCAGCAATCAACGCAACCTGCGACGTGTCAGAAATTAATGGGCTAAGCGAGACAAAACTTTGGAGCTGTTTTTCTCCGATTTTTTTTTTAATTTTGTATATTTTGAACGGCAGCGGCCACCACTCAAATGACAATTTCCGGCCGTCAGTTTGGCAGTGCCAATAAATTGGCAACCCTGCTCGTATTTCAACGGCCACGCAAGAAAAAAGGCAAAAGCACCGAATACTGAGTATCGGATCGAAAAGGCCGACATCATATGTGGGTGCCTAGAAAAATGACTCTATGGCAGCGATAACCATAAAGTTTTATGGCATTTTACATAGCATTAGTCGGTCCAAAAAAAGGTAATGCCTCTGCGAGTGTCTGTGAATGTTGTTAGCCAGTTACTAAATTTGGCTTAAATGAAGGCGAAACTTGTTACGTAGCCGGCCGGTGGTCGGCCCACATGGTCAGCATCTCTGGCTCAAATCATGAATGAATGAATGACTACAAGTATATAGCCCCGCAGCAGAAGTCTGTCACTCTGTCAGTTTGTCAGTCATTCACTCAGTCAGTCAGTCAGCTGGCCATAATTGATTTTCGAAACGAGCGCAGTAAACATGACGGCGACAAATTTTTCGTCTAAAATGTGACAAAATCTGAGGAGAAAAAAAGAGCAAAAACCGACGACACCATATCGAAAAACCGACAAAACCAACAATCGTGGCCATATGGACAACATGTGCATGCGACTGCAGAAATTGTTAATTCATTCATTAAGAGACCAAGTGGACGTCCAAGAAACGAAACCAAATCTAATGGGTGCGACTCAGAAAAGCCACTTGGAAATTATTTCAGTAGGCCGCAAAGACAAAAGGAAGCTCAGATGGTTGAACTTCGAATAGGAGCGGAGTTTTCATGGAAAAGGGCTTAAAAATTGCTTGAAAGTTTTTATATAAATTTACTAGTTTTTAAAATCTCTTAAGAACATTTTAAGATCCAATCTGTATTCTAAGATTGTCTAAAACCACTTTAATCAAAGTGCGAGGGAGGACAAATCTTAATAGCCAACAGCCATTACCAAGAATTCTATCAAAATCAAATTGCTGCCACAGACAGATCAAGAATATATACATATATAACTGAAAGATGACCCCTTTGCGGCTTGAAACGTCCCTGGCCTGGTCGCATCATTCAGTCAGTCGCTCATTCATTCAGTACACAACCACGCGCCCTGTGGCTGCATTTGGTGGCTAATTTGCATAGTTTTTCTGCTCGGTGTGCTTTATATTGCGTTGGCGTTTCGGCCCGGATCGTATTGGATCGCATATGGTGTATGGTAGGAACCTTAAGGCCTGGGAAAGTGTTGCGGCCTACCGGTGATAATGATAATGATGGCCACATGGAGATGATGATGACACTGTGGGAAACCTTAGCAAATGTGGGCTGCTGTCGCTAATGAGCTTGTATAGTGTCAGCAAAAACAGAAAACAGAAAAAAAATAAAATAAAAAAATACACTTAAATAAAACAGAAAATAGGAAATTGCTGAAACAACAGAACACTCAAATATCGGGGTCTTGGATCAAATGGCCCATATGTGTTCGTCTGTTTATTGTTTTGTTCACTTTATCCGCGCTTCCGTTGCAACATTTCCGCAGCTGAGGCAAGCGAAAAAAAAAAACAAAAAGGGGAATTAAATAAGGCAAATAATTCTGATTATCTAATTCCCATTAAAAAGCCGAAAGCAAACTCGATTAATTCATTCATTTACGGCGTGTGAAATTGATTGGGCGCAGGCTTTGGCTTTTGCTAGAAAATAAATATTTGCTAAATTGGAATTTGAGTTGTCATATCCGCTGCGACCATATACTCGTACATATATACCATCTGAATATATACATATATATATATAAAGATCTGCGTATCTATATGGTATATAGAGCGGGCAGTATTTTTAGTTGGGTGTTCAATCTTCTCGAGACTGGGGGGCAGACAGCGAAATGAAATGGTTACAGTGCGTGTTCAGTTGGCTGGGCGCCCGCCATTCGGCTTCTTTTGGCATGAATCATCCTCACCATAGCCATGATCATCATCATCATCATGATGATTATCATCATTTTGGTGGCTAGAACGGCCGGGTTTGAATTTTACAAAAATACGCATTTTTATGTTTACGGCGTAGTCTGGCAGACAGGAGGAGAAAATCTCGGCTCCTCCGCCTCCTCACGCACTCATAATTCCCAATCCGAAATAGTTTTTTGGCCAGCGAAAATTTACAACTTTGTCGCCGCACTGAAATTCAATTTGCCAGATATCGAAAAGTAGCCCCAACAAAATGGCAAATTTTCCAAACTGCGTACTAGGTTTTTCGTCTAAAGAGATTTTGTTTATCGCCAGACTATACGAGCTGTTAGAAATATCCCGCCATGGGCAGAAATAAATAATGTGTACATAAATTGCAGAGCTCACCTATTAAAAGGTTATCTCTCCCTCCGCTTTTGGGATCTACTATGCGGTCTGGCCCGAAAATATTCTTTTGGCTAATTGTCTAAACAAACGGTGCGAAATTATGTTAGAGATCTTTCCCTTGGGGGATTTTTTCCTATCCCTATGTTTTGGTTGTTATTCATTTTGGACTTGTTGCACAAGGCACGTGTGGTTCATTATTGGTCAGGGGATACTGGGCAGTACGTTGATTTAAGAGGGCGTGAATTTATAGAAAATATTACCAAATCTGCTTTGCATGCACTGCATGTTTTTCTAGCTGCAAATCAGTTTTAGACAAATCATTGGCCATGTATCTTTGCCTATTTCTTATTTTCCATATTCATAATATCAACAAGTAATATATTTGAAGCCCTAATGTGAAACATGGGCCACAAAAATCAATTCTAAATTCCTTAAATTCATCTTCAGCTAAAAAGTATGCAACATGTTTTAACTAACTTTTTACATTGTCAAGAAAAGTATTTTTACTCACCTAGCAAAACTTATCCCTTAAGTAAATAAATCATGATTTCACTTACCGGAATTTTAGATGTCCGCAGGAACTCCAGGAGAGCCTCCAACGAACCCAGCGTGGAGGCCTGGACATGGACGCCCGTCTGTGCCAGTTTAATATGACTAAGTGCACTCTTCAGTTCCTTAGCAACTTCATCTCTGGAAATAAAAATATTGATAAATACAAAACGTATATATAAAACTCAGATAAACGCACGTGCAAATCTCGACTTCATCCGGTTTGTGCGCAATCAGGAGATTGATACCTGCAATGGCCTTCTCCAGATCCTTGGCAGCGATCTTGACACCCTGGGCAGCCTTCACCTCCTTGTACTCCACATAGGCGTTCTTTACACGCAACTCCTTCATGGGCTGTGGCATCAACAGAGAGCGAATCTGAGTGACAATAGGTCCATCTGTTCCGGCCACAACCATGGTTTGACCCTCTCTCAGTTTTCCGTTAATCAAAATGGCATCGATGGTGGTTCCCAGACCTGGCAGTGCCTTTACCTCTAACACGGTGGCCTGCAGTTCCTCGGAGTACATCAAACGCTTGGTCAGCATGTTCTGACAGAAGTCAGCGATCATGAAGAGCAGATTACCCATGCCTTCGCCCGTAATAGCACTAGTTGGCACCAAGGAAATGTACGTCTTGGGATCTGAGTTCTCGTAGAACAGAGCAGCATTCAAGCCCTGCTCAGCAAACTGCAGAATCACCTCCTTTGTGCGCTGCTGGAACTCCAACTGTGTGTTGCTCTGCTGCTCCTTGAGCACATCTCTGACATCCCGTCTGCCCAGCTGTTTCCAGTCGTACAATCGATCGATCTTGTTGAGGGCCACAATGAATGGACACTTCTTCTTCTTGAGCAGCTGAATTGACTCAATGGTTTGCGGCTCCAGTCCGTGCATAATGTCCACTACCAGGATGGCAATGTCGCAAAGGGAAGATCCTCTGTTTCTCAAGTTACTGAAAGACTCGTGACCGGGTGTGTCGATGATCAATAGACCAGGCAAACGATGCTCGAATCCTGCGGATGCCTTCACGTACTTCGTCTGCTCCTTGATGGCTTCAATTGGGACATTAGTGGCTCCAATCTGCTGGGTAATGCCACCCGCCTCGGAATCCTGAACGTGAGTTCGCCTCAACTTATCCAGAATCTTGGTCTTTCCAGTATCTACATGACCTAGGACACACACCACTCCTGCTCTAAGTTCATCGACAGTTCTCTTCTTTTCCGCATCATCTTGACGTTTCAAGATTCGGGCTTCCGCTCGGAGTCTTCGTGACTCCGGATCATTGGCCAATGCCGTTTCCTTTTCCTCAGAGTCATCGCTATCCTCATCGGAATCATCGCTGTCATCATCATCCTCGTCACCTTCATCGTCATCTGTGCTCTCTTCTTCCTCAGCATCGTTCTTTCCGTTGTTGGTGGTCTGCGAGGATTCCTCCTCGGGTTCTGCCTCTGCTTCGCTGTCGGTAGCATCCCAGCTCTCCTTGACCACTTCCTCCTTCTCTTTCTTGGCAGCCGCTGCAGCGGCGGCGGCAGCAGCAGCTGCTTGTGCTTCCGCTGCCTTCCTGGCCTCCTCTTCGGCGGCATCTTCCTTGGGGCCCTTCTTCTTGTTCGGACGGATACGAGTTCCTGAAAGGAATAACTTGGGTTATTAGGGCGCTATTAAGGATATACCTTAAAATTATGATTTTTACTGATTCGTTGCTTGTTATTGAAATCCAAAAATAAATTAAGAATGTTATTTACTTGGCCATTGGTATTCAACTTACATAACTTATCCATCGTTTTTAAAATAAAATGATATAATCGAATATTATCTACCTTTCTTATCTTTCTCAAAAAAGAAAAACAAGAAACAGCGACAGTTGCGTGCAAATGTAAAGAGAAAGTGGATCCATTTACATAAAACGTGTTGCACAATTAACAAATAATGTTATTCAAAGTGTTTCAGTTTATGAACTAAAATGAGTTTTAAAAATAACTTTCACTAGCAAGTTGATATACATATTGGAAAATCTCTATCTAATACTTTATAATTCATATCATATTAAATTACCTGGTCGCGTAGGTCGCTTATCGTTAGGATCCGGAATTTCGAGTCCCTGAGCCTTAAGAGACTCTAGCAGAGCTTGTGCCCTGGCCCGATCCTCCTTCTGCTTTTTGGTTAGCAACTTGCCCTCGGCCTTTAGACGAGCCTTGCGCTCTGCCTCACGTTGTTTCTTTTTCTCCTTTCTCTCGGCCTCCAGACGCACTGCTTCTAGACGGGCTTCCTCACGCTCATCCTCCAGGCGTATACGTTCTGCCTCCTCCCGCTCTAAACGCTCCTCTTCCTCCTTGCGTTTTTTTAGCTGCTCCTGCATGGCGGCTACCATGGCGGCGGACATACCCTTTTTCTTGGTGTCCTTTTTCTCCTCCTCGGGCTCGGCCTTCTTATCCTTTTTTCCCTTCTTCTTGTTCTTGCTGGTCTTTTCCTCCTCTTCGCCGGCTTCAGGTTGGATTTCTTCTGAGACTTCGGGTTCGGGCTCTGGAGCAGGTTTCTCCACAGGTTTGGGCTTGGGCTCCGTAGCTGCCTTTTGCTTGGCAAGAGCAGCCTCCCTCTTCTGACGCTCTTTCTTTTCCTTCTTTTTTTGAGCAGCTGTCTTCATAGTACTGCCCCCGTCCTCATCCTCGCTGCCCTCATCCTCGTCAGGGTTGTCTGCAGCGGGAACAGGAGCTTTGGCCTGCTTCTTGTTCTTCTTCTTCTTGGAGAACTCATCTGCCAGTTCTTCTGGGGAAACGACGGTGGTGGCAGCTGGGACAGCCTCGCCGGCATACTCCGCTTGGAGTTCCGCTAACACTTTGTCTAGATCTTCATCGTCGTCGTCTTTGCCCTTTCGTTTTGCCTTTTTGCCCTTCTTTTCGTTCTTCTGGGGCTTGGAGACCACCTTTTCCTCCTCCTCTGACTGACTTTCCTGCACAGCCGGTTCATCTTGGTCATCGTCGTCCATTAGCAGCTCAAATGCCGACTTTTTGGAGGATTTTCCCTTGGTGGGCACCACCTCCTCTTCATCTGAGTCCTCATTTTTGGCTGCCTTGCCCTTTCCCTTGACATTGAGCTTCTTGACCCCTTTAGTTAGAGCTTGGACATCATCCTGGCCAGCTTTGTTGCCTTTCAGGGGCTGATTCTTCTTGTTGTTAAGACTCACCTGGTCGCTGTCCACGTCGGAACTGTAGAAAACCAAATAAATGTTAGAAAGTTTGCCAAGTTGGCAGGTGGCTATCCAAGCGACTCACATTTCGTCCGCCGAGGAACCGCCTTCGACCTTGGTCAGTATCTCTTTCTTGCCCTTTTTAGCTTTAACCATCTTCCCGTTTGCGACTGCAACACGCTCCTCCGCTGGCCAAAAACGAAAAGCCGTGGGTTATTCACCGCTGAAAGATCCGCACACGCGACGCTTCGGCAGCAAAAAAGAAGAGGAGGAAGACTTTTCCCTAGATGATCCTGGTGTTTCTGATCTTCTGATCCTGGTCCCGCTGCAGTGGCTCCTTCGGCTAGTTCCTGCTGCTGCAGAATTGGGCAATCAAAGGTTGAATTTGGCACGGTGGATTGCCAATTTTCAATCGGTTTAATTTAGCCGTGGAAATTCTGCACACAAACACGTTGGATGAGTGGGTGGGTGCGGGGGGTTGGCAGTGTGACCGTTGAGGGAATAACTAGAAAAGACAAGGGTTCGATGTGGAGTTATCGATTGCACTTATACCCTGTAGTCGCTGATTTAAATAGTATCTTGAATATAAAGTAGACATGGGCTTAAAGAAAAGGTTTATAGGAGAAAGAGTCCATTAAATTTAATTGAGAGGTAATAATGTCACTGGGTTCCAGCTCCTAAAAAGAAAAATTCCTTACTTCCTTAAAGTACTTACAATATTTATTTTATAATTACCTTCAACTTTTTATGGAATCGTGGTCACGTTGCCACGGCGCCGTCGTGCGCGGTTTAAGGAAAACCATTTATGGCCGCAAATCTGTTCTTGCACTCATCACATGTGTCGCAGTGTGCTATGTTATCTTCTTGTCAATTTTCGAATTTAAATTTGAAGAGATTTAAACATATTTTTTAACGTTGTAAATCACTAAGAATTTATGTTGTGCAATGCAAGAAGGAACCATCTATTAGCTTTTACCTCACATACATTCGTATCGCTTGTTAAATCAAAATGTATGAAGCCTTCTAACATATTTTGGAATCACAATTTTGGGTGCGTGCTATAACTTGCTAACAAGCTTGATTATAATGACTAAATGACATTAAAGTAAAAGGAAATTCTGATTTGTGACAACTTGCGATACAAACTTTCAAAACAGTTATGATACTTTATGAAAGGGTATATAAAATAGCTAGAACTAGTATATTTTTAAAAAGATATGCGTATTATACAGCATTTGGAGTGCGGTCCCACTTAAATTCCTTCTCTTAAAAGTTCGCAAAGACGCTTTTTGTTCGGATTTTATATCAAAATTCTTTAAATTTGAAAGCATTAACTATTTGAATTTACGAGATCGGTTAAGTAGTTAGTGCACTGTTTCAAGCACGTTAAGAATTTATGTAAGTTAAATAAAAAAACATAAAGCCGGTTGTAAATTTTAAAAAAGCCGGTAAAGCACTCTTAGTAATAACAATTCTTGGACCATAGCTTGACATCCTAGAACAATTGTTAATTGGATGATGTCCAGCGAAGCTTCCGGAAGTATAACAATCAAAGAAGAAGCATCCACGAGCGGCACGGCTAGCAATATTCCAGTAGAATCCAGCGAAACAGAGGTTTGTTTTAAATATGTAAGAGCGAGAAGGACATAGTAAGACAGGGATAACTGTAAAAACTGTTGCGCACTTTTCGTGTGAAAGCATGTGCTTGTTTTTCCACGTTTTTTAAATTACTCTGAAATCTGAGCATCGGAATTTCATAAGTTAATATATTTTTTTATTAAATATTTTTTATTTCAAATTTCTCGAAATATAAAACTTGTTCAAACAAATAAACAACGATTTAATTTACTGTCTTTAAATATGTTAAGTGCAACGATACACATAATATTATTCACAAAATCTCTTTAAAGTGAAAAAAAAATTTTGCTTTTGATATTGGAATATAAAAATTTGCCTAGTGTAAAGGTATGAATTGACAAAGTTAGGATCTTCAGCTTTCGGTCTTTAACCATTCGCAATCCTCTCATTGTTTACAATATCTTAGGCTAAGAAATCAGAGATTGGTGCTGACAAGGCAGAATCGCTGACTGAAGCCGAGGGCGGAAGGGCGGCGGATACGACGGAGACACATTTGAAGCGTCTGCAGAATCTGCGCAAGGAATTGGGTTACCTTAGCGAAACTGACTGGATGTACGAGAGTCTCGATAAAAAAACAACACAGTAGAAACCAGAAAAACAAAATGCTCACTTTCGTTCGGAAAATGATCAACAGTCCGGATCGTAACCGGGAGCTTATGTTGGAAAATTTGGAACGGGAAAATCGTTTTTTGGATCAAAAAGAAATGGAGGAGAAGATGGAACGCGCGCTTCAGGCGAATCCCTCTGAAATGGATTCGATTATTTCCAACCAGATGGAGAATTTAGCTCTGGACACTAACACAGAAGGAGTGTGTACCTCTAAAAAGGGTGTGATCACTAGCTTGACCTGCGACCGTGGAGTAATCGATAAAGACGTTCTCTTTGACAGCAAGGTGGCAGAGGGTATATTCCAGGAGCTAAATGTTGGCTGTGTCGTAGAATATCTGACCTTTACAAAGGGCGAATCAACGCGGGTGGTAAAGGTGAAGAGCATCCTTGAGCATACTTGGGAGGATTCCAACCAAAACAACGTGAGTTTATATTAAAAATGCTATTACAAACTAGAAAGATTAAATCTTTGAATATCTTATCTTAAACTTAGTATTCGAAACCATCTCTAAATGAATTAAAAAATCCAAATCTTTATTTTAGATCGAAGAAGCTTTAGACAAACTAAGAGATGAGAAGCCCACTTATTTTAACACCCAGATTAGAAGCGTGTTAGGCCTGATTCGCCAGCGATTGGCATCCTCCATAGACGTGGAGACGGAATACGGACAGATCACCGTCGAGCTAGACAACGTCGAGGTGTCCTTCATACCAAAAACGGGAGATCGGGTGCGCCTAGAGTGCAACATTCAGCTGGACGATGGTTTTGTTGATAAGCAAGGAGAAATCCTGCAGGTCACTAAGGTGTTTCCCACTCGCATCCAGGAGGGTGAAAAGTGCATAGTAGAGCGCGTTTATACGGATTTAGCGGTGCTGGATCCGGAAACCTACGTTCTGAAAACGGATCTGCCGCCCGGCATGGATCTTCATTTGGGCGATTTTGTTCTCGCCAATCTCATTGAGTGTCAGTATGTAAGTTAGTGGTGTGAAAATGCATTTTAAAGTATTTTCCTTAATAATAATTTTAATTCCATAGTCCAAATTTACGAGACGCGCTGTCAAAATAACTCCGCTGGAAAAAAACTTTGGGGTAACAAAATTGAGATCTCAGGGTTATAGTGGAACTTCCAGCAGTGGACACGCGGTATCGGTCAAGGGTAAAGATCGTATCATCACCACAGAACTCTGGCAAAAGCAGACTGTATCTATAAAATTGATCAATAACTTGGATCGCAAGCTGCTTCTGGAGAAAATTGTTGTCTCCAACGATAGTGAATCCCAGCTGAGCCTGATAGAACCGCTTGAGCCCAAGAACCTTAACAGCGGGGCCGAAATAACTGTGGTCTTCGAAATTCACACCCAGTTCCTAGGTGAAGCAACCGAGAACTACGTCATACATTTCGACAAATTCAAGGTGAGGCGCTCTTTTACGGTAATCGTTTGCGAAACAAAGGAACAAGCCGCTGAAGCTGAAAAACGTATAAAAGCGGCAGAAAGTCTCATTGCACCCGGAAGTAACGCCCTGCAGAGATCCAGATTCTACGCCAACCAGGTTTGGTGCAACAAGGGGGATGTGGTTCCGGGAGAACATTTGTTCACCAAACGCAGATTCATTGCCACGCGTTTAGGTTATTTTGAGGTGAGGATTTGATAATTTCAAATGTAATTCAAGTTCCAGTTTAAATGTAATACATATTAACAACATTTGTCGTTTTATAGGTCCCGCAAACTTTGCGCCAAATGTATTTGGCCATTGAACGGCGCCAAGATATGATTGATGCCATCGAGAAGCAATATCCATGCATCAAGGAACCCCTAACCGTTAGTAACTATGTACAGCGTTTCAGTGTGTTTCTTCACCTCGAGGAGATTGAGTGCTTTGTGAACTTTCGCAACTACGACAGAGAACGAGCCCATTTCCTGAGAGACGGAGACTATCTCGCACTTCAAATCGAGAATCTAGCCGAGCGTCGTCCTTCGCTGGTCTTAGGCGATACAGTTCGAGCAATAAATCCGTGGTTGGAACCCGATTCCCCGACGACCAAAACATATGAGGGCGTTATCCATAAAGTGCTATTTAACCGAGTTCTACTAAAATTCCACGCCAGTTTCCAGGAGAAATATAATGGCGAGGATTATCGACTGGAGTTTCATTTCTCGCGCTATGGTTACCGCAAGCAGCACCATGCCATCTCGAAGATTTTGAGTGTGTTGGGGGAAAACTTCCTTTTTCCCAATAAGGTAACAAAGCGCGAAAATCCGCAATTGGACGTGCGGATGGAGGGCGATGATATGTATCTATACGATTCGAAATTACCATGGTTTAATTCATCGCTCAACTGCATCCAAAAGCAGGCTGTCTTTAATATACTGCGCGGTGAAGCTGAAAATATTCCGTATGTGATCTTTGGACCGCCCGGCACAGGAAAAACCGTGACACTGGTAGAGACAATACTGCAGTTGGCGAAAAATGTCCCAAGTGCTCGAATATTGGTTGGGACACCTTCGAATAGCTCAGCTGATTTGTTGACAAAGAGACTCATTGACAGCAAAGCTTTGCTCCAGGGAGATTTCATTCGTCTTGTGTCCCAGAATCTAGTGGAGAAGGAGTTTATTCCTCCCGAACTGATGAGCTACTGTGCCACCATAGACTTAGGCTCCATGGGCTCCTGCGAGGAAAAAGTAAGCATAAATATATTTTCTTCCAAAGGAATGGAAATCCTTTAATACCATTTTCTTTATATAATAGATGGTGGTCACCGAATCGGGACTGAAGCTACGTTGCCAGATGAAGTTTATGGGATCCCACCGAATCACTATCTCCACAAGTGCTTCTTTGGGAAACTTCATACAGATGGGATTCCCACCGGGGCATTTTACCCACGTGCTTTTCGATGAGGCTGGTCAATGCACCGAACCTGAGACAATGATTCCTATTATAATGCTAACGAAAAACCGGAGTCAAGTGATTTTAGCAGGTGATCCTCGGCAGCTGCAGCCCGTTGTGATTAATTATTTTGGGAAGAATAACGGATTTTCCATATCATTCCTGGAGAGATTGCTGGAACAATCGCCCTATCGAAAGGATCTTCAGAGATATCCTAGCAACTCAGGTTACAATCCTGATGTTCTGACCAAGTTATTGTACAATTACCGAGCATTACCGTCGATTATGAGCATATATAACAAACTCTTCTACGATGACGAACTAATCTCTGTTTTATCCGAAAAAGATTCGAGGGAAATTCAGCTTCTAACCAAGCTACGATGCGTTTTCGAGCCCGAAAAGGATTGGCCGCAAGCGCATGGGACGTTCTTCTATGGAATCACTGGAGAGAACAGGCAAGACATCGATTCCCCTTCGTGGTATAATCCTCATGAGGTCAAGGAAGTATTCCTCATGACCATAGCTCTGTATCGTGCTAATGTAACACCAGAACAGATCGGAATACTCACGCCATATGTGAAGCAGGTCAAGATGTTGCGAAACATGTTCGTTGGGACAGATGTGGCCATGCCGAAGATTGGTACCGTTGAAGAGTTTCAGGGACAGGTGGGCTGCCAAATAACAAAAACGTTTCTTAGATTTAACTATAAAAACTTTATATAATTCCCAGGAACGTGACATTACTCTCATCTCCACGGTGCGCTCTACGGAAGCAATCCTCAAAACAGACGCCCTGTATTCCTTGGGCTTTGTGCTTTCCCACAAACGTATGAACGTGGCTGTTTCCCGGGCTCGTGCCATGATGATCATATTTGGGAATCCCCGTCTTCTAGCCGTCGATGAATGTTGGCGCCAACTCATCCTGTATTGTGCCAATAACAATGCCTATTTCGGTTGTGACTTGCCCGAATCTATCGTAAATCAGGAGGATGAAGATCCAGTTCGGTTGGAAGCTTTTGTGCCTTAACTCGTTTACCAAATATTCATATCTCTTAAGCCTGACGTAATGTATTATTAGCACACAAAGTGCTATATTAAGGAATAAAGTGACTCCAAATGATCTTTTTCTTTTCTTCTTTTTTTTTGGTTATTAAGCTAAGAAATTAGAAGTTTTGATCCTATAGTGTTATTTAAAGAAAGAGCAGTGGCGTTAGGGTAGTTAGTCCTATTAAATATTTTGGTATTTCAATTAAAAAATTAATTAAAAAAACTGTTTTTTAAATATTAGGAAAGTCGTTTTACCAGTCTGGCAACGCTAGTTCTTAGCTTTTCTGTTTGACAACACTAACAGGAACCGTTATCCCGCCATGTTTTATTTGCATTTTGTTTTCTCTTCATTTGTTTTGGTTAGTTCCACGAAAAGTCTTTGACTTAACAGTTAGTGGCACCTATTAGTAAATATTTGTTCGGTGTTGCGACGTTATGGACCGGAACTTGGCTGCCGAGCAAAACATCTTCGTGATTAACCACAAATCGGAGAAGAATATTCTACAATCTGACGTTGAGGTCAGTGGAATGAAAAATGTGCATTTTTTTATAAAATAATTAAAATTTATTAAATAAAAATTACTTAACAGCGCCTATCAAAGACCCACTGGCTTTGCGATTATGCTCGTGATATATTTCAGACCATGAGGGAGCAGGAACTCCGCCGGCTCCCGATGTTTTTCCTTTCGCCGCAATCGGGCGAGCGGCACAAGATGCTGCAGTTGCTTCAACTGGCAGCCCGCACACACAAACTGAGTCGCTGTGCACTGCATTTGGGTGAGCATAGAAATGAAAAAACATTTTTTCATAGAACTTTCGAACATACTTTGCGGGCTACTCAATTAATTTAAAATTTTCTTGGTAATCCATTGGATATCCGCTTCTTCTCAGCTGTTTATTATATGGATCGCTTTGTAGACCACTACAAAATCCGTTCAGACAAGCTCTTCTTAGTAGCGATCACCTGTCTTCATATAGCAGCACAGATTGAGAACACCGAAGCGTTTATACCGCGTTATAGCGATATGAACCGCTTGGTCAGGAATGCATACACTGCATTCGAATACAAGGCTGTGGAGAGGAAAATGCTTTGCTTCCTCAACTTTGAGCTATTGCGTCCCACAACTGCCAGTTTTGTAGAGCTCTTTGCCTGCAGCTTTCTCACTCGCTCAGACTTCGCCGCTTACATCGATATGTTGGATGAGTGCGAGAGGCATCAGAATATCCAGCTGTACCGGCGATTCGGAAGCTTCGAACAAATGTTGGCCACTTTGGCTCAATCTCTGCTCCGCATGGCAGATTACACCTTGAACAGTGAGTCTTGACTTTCCATAGAACAGATGACTTAACAAACATTTGTAGTTTCCAGATTTTCCAATGATGCGCCCTCCCTTTTGGCCGCCGCCTGCATTGCTGCAGTTCGCCAGGTCCACGGAGTCAAACGCTGGTCGTCGTACCTCACTGAACTGACCTCCTATACAGAGGCGAATGTGGAGCCCTACATGGATGTCTTAACAGACTTTCATTACTTTCAGACTATCCAAACCGTTTGGAACGGTACCAATGGTCAGAACAATCAAAATTTATCCAGTCCCGATTCTGGATTTGAGGAGTCGCTGACGGATAGAACAGAGCTGGTGGTATCGGAGGAAGTGGTCACCGTAGAGGTGGAGACCTACAACATTGTCACTGTGCAACTGCAGGACAGAACTCCAGATTCAACGACAACGCCTATCAAAAACCAAACCAATCTCAAACGTCCTCGCTCTGAAGACAACCTCGATAATCTCGAAAATCCGCGTCCAATAAAACAAGCCAAGACAGAAGAGAATGAATCTTAAGATAAGTAACCCAAGGAATGTAAAAACTATTACCATTTGGAGGAAATCCAAATAGTTTTAAGGTGCCCAGACATCAATAACGTAGATATGACCCTGTTCAATTGAGTTGAACCGTCGCCATATCATAATCGTAACATTCAGCTTTAATATATATGTATTTAATATATATTTGAAATTATCTTATAAACTTATGAATACAAAATGTCAAAAACTCAACAAAACAGAAGCATTATCAACTAAAAACAACAAAGACATTATTTATAATTTGTTAAAAAAACAATGGCCCTTGTTTAATTTTATCAGACATTTTCGGGAGGTTTCAAATTCAAAAATTTCTTATAACTAAAATGATTTACAATTAAAATTGGAGTGCCAATTAAGGAACAATTAAAAGGTCATTAAGGCTTTCTTATTTTTACATTTGCATTTATGACTTAAATGTGAGTTTTTACGAAAAAATCGAGATAGTTTTCAGGATCTAAAGCTAACTTTGGACAATTCTTAATAAATCTGTAACTTTTAAAATGGAAAAATGAATTAAGCTATTTGCTATATATGCAAAATTTTAAATGAGATATTTAGTAGATTTAACAGAATGTTTAAGGTGGTTTGCTAAATACTGACATACAAATTGCTAGAATAAATGCCTAGATTTTATGATATTGTCCAAAGTTTACCTCTCGCCCCTAAGATTTTGCGTCGTCAAGATGGGAACAGCTTAAGTAAGAGCGTCATTCGTACCAGGATAGCACACACTTTTCAATTTCATAGTTTTCTCATAAATCTAGCCTATCTGCTAAATGCACGAAGTGGGAATGCATTGAGGAATCCGGAAAATCGGTGTAACAATCGTATTGGGAAATGTCAAACTAACTAACTTACATAAAACCTGCATTGCTATCCCAGTGTGGTAAGTAGTAGTGTGGGGAATGGTGTTTGTAAACATAAAGGTCGCTCGAATTTACAACATTTACAGGACATCTGTACAAGGATCAGCCTTTATCGCTGCATGTCGCGTCGTTTCAATACATCGAAGATCACATCGGAGGCATTTTGTTTGTTAGGATCGTGACCGGACTCGTCCTCAGAGTCGGTTTGCTCAAGTAATGGCACTGTCAGCGTTGAGTGCGATTTTACATGGACACCCGCAATGGCACTACCCTCGTTGAATTTATATTCGCCCGTAGACTGGTCTTGGTCGTTATCAGATTCCAAGTCTTTCTGCTGCCTCTGAGTCTCCTTCATACTAGTGTACTTGTGCAGAAGATGGCAAACAATACCCGCCAGGCAAATGACCAGGCCAATGTAGTTAATCACACTCAGCTGGTCTTTTTTGAGGGTCACAGCCAGGGCCAACTGGCAGATGTCCTTGAAGATACCGGCTATGGAGAGCGTTAGGCTGGAGGTCTTGCACAGAACCAGAAACTCGCTGAATTCCATGAGGAAGGCCAGCAAAGCCCCGGCTGTTATCTTGGCAATTGCCCAGGTTATTTCGTTCGATGTGTGGGTGTGGAGATCTTCAATCACCGCGACGAAACGGGCTCCTACAAAGAAATGGCTCTTATTATATTCAAATTTGATTTAATAAGTTTCAAAACCCACCTTCGAGAACAATGACCAAAGGCACTAGCGATGCAATCATCCATGGCTGCATGTAGTATATCATGTCGATGGGATTGTGCAATCCCAGCTTCGACTTTTGCATTATGAACTGCGCAAAACTCCATCGCAATCCGCTGCTCAGCGAGGCAAAGAGGATGAAAAAGAAGCCCAGGGCATTGAACTGGGTGGACTTGTAGGTGAACATCACCAGGCCAGTGCCTATCAGGCCCACAATCGAGACCAGATACCAGCTCTGAAAGTAAACAATGCCTTTAATGCACAATCTATATTGCGGTAGCCAAATATAAACATTTTCTGCAACGCATTTTGCATGTTTTATATATGGAAAAATCTATGTATATTCTTTTAACACCTAAAAGAATAGCAACATTCCCGCATATTTATAAATTTGGGAAATATACTTTTCTATAACGAAAAATAATGTCTAGCTATATTTCTACATTAGGTTATTGACAATTGGTAATCTACAAAAATATTTCCCCTGATATTGTTTTTATCTATTTTTATCATATTCATTGTAGGCATATAATGATAAGAACTAATCATTATGGCATTTTGCTTTGATTTAAATCAGAAAAATAAAATACCCTTTCATTGAAACACAAGTTAATGATAAAGAGAAGCCCATGAAACTCTAAATGGAAGTTGTGTACCAGAGATATAAAGGAGCTTCACATATCTGATTCTGCCCTACAACTCACAATACATGAAAATAATAATTAATAATGGATAGAAAGCTTAAAATGTTGTGTAGTCTTATCAGTTCTCTATAGATATGATAAAATATTTTACACTTTTAAGCCTTTCAAATAATTGAATAGATACTTTGAAGATAACTTCTTTACCTGAGCTTACATATAATTATTTCTATAGAAAGTTCCCTCTTTATGCCAGGTGAACGGCTTATCGCTTCTATAATTTATGGCTTCCCAGCTTAACTCACCTTCTTTTCCAGTCCCAAAGCGATGGCGAATAGCAGGATGAAGACGATAGTTGATGATTTCGTCATTGTGTATAGTGAGATGGGCACCAGGGCCAAACCCCAGTTAGAGAATCCTATATCAATCGCACTGGCTACTCCCGTGGGTGCCATCTTCCTTAGGGCAATTCGCCAATCCAGCTGTACCCTCGATCTGCCCATTCGCAGCCTATAGATCTTCCGCGCCAAGGCAGCTAGAAGAAACTTCACAACCAAGTGATACGACACAATGGCCAGGGGAAAGGGCATCTGCCGGTTGATGTCGGTTTGATAGAAGGTCAGCGATATAGAAAGCGTCAGATACAATAGTATTATGGCCAACGTGCCCACGGCCATTTGCATCATCATGTTCTGGTTCTGAGCCGACGTGGCCGTTTCCGCAGCTCCCGCAGATTCACCGGTTCCGGACTTCCCGCTGGCGTACTTAAAGTTGCTCTGACGCAAACGATGGCCATTGCTCAACTGCGTTTTCTGAGCAATACTGAGTTCGATCTCCTCGTCTTCCGCATCACTGGCATTTCCATTTCCACCCGCCTCACCACTGGAATTCAGCCGCTCGTACTTGGCTGCTACCATTATATATTATCGGGAATACCTGGTAAAGATGATATAGAGAGTGAATGGTATAGTAAAAATATTGGAAACGCAACGCGGCAACTTACTACTTTCGTTATCTTGAAGTCTACGTCCATATGTATCAATATGTTCCGGGTATTTTGCTGCTTTTCCGCTTCTTTGCCTGTTATCTGCTACGTTTCTATATATGTATATATTTTTCGACTCGGCCGTGCAATAATGGAAATGGCTTTAATGGGTTTTTACGCTGCCATTTCGACCAAAACTTCTGTTTTTCGGTTTCGTTTCTTGCCAACTGTTTATACACAGGCAGTGCTGGCTGGTTGGCTAGTTTCCCGATAGAGCTGATTAGCGGGGGAGGACTAGTACAGCGGTTTTGGCTAAATGTGCCAGTTCCGGGGACAGGTGGGTGTATGTTATCGATGTATCGATTGCGCCAACTTGGCAAATAATTTAAACAAAGAGACTATTTCTCTCTGTTTAAATTACGTGTTTTATTTGCATTTAACCCTAGACTAGCTTTGTAGATAAAACCAAGTAAATTCTGTCCGTTATTAGAATCTTGAAAATGATTCTAAAATTTGTCAAAATACGGTGGCATTGTTTTTATCACAAAACATAATCTACTTCGAAGTTAAAATTAAAATTTTTAGAGAGACGATAAATAAATTTGAATTACTTTAAAATAATATGTGTGTGTATTAATATCGAAAATTCGTTACCTCTGATTATCTCATAAAAATGACAGTATTATGTTCATAACTTTGCCAATAATGGTGCGAATATGGAATGTGATACCTCGTTGAGCTTGTTTTTTAATTCCTAGTAAAAATGCATTCACCTTAATTTTTTGTCATTTTTTGCAAAATACAGATTATATTAACGAATATGTTAGTATTATGTCCATAACACAGGCAATAATAGTCCAAAAATGGATATCCATGAATTACATATTTGTTGTTTGTTTTTATTCACTTTCCACAATTGTATAACATTTTCTTTTCAGGAACCTCGTCAAATTATCCAAGCTATTAAAACGCCTTGATTTAAACTTTAAAAGTATTACAATTATCGAAAGTGCGCTTAAATAAATGCATTTTAAGTGCCGGTTTTTAAGATTTCGCTACAATTGCTTGAACAACTAAATAAGATAACTTCTTGATATAGGTAAACTGCTAATAGACATATTTGATCTTTCTTAATATGGTCAATTTCATTCCTATGCCGTGTTCAAATGCTGGATGACAATAGGAGCTGTTTTAAATGAAGAAAGGAATAAATTATTTTCAATAGAACATTTTACATAAGAAATTTACATACCCAATCGGACGACCGCGATAATAGTGCCAAAAAGGATGAAATTGAAGCGGACTTCGGAAGCCACTCGTTTTTGTTCCTCGGCGGGATCTGGTTGGGATTGTTGCAGGCGGAACATTCTGATGCTTGTTGTATTACTTATTTATTTATTTACAAGAAAAACGTGCGGCGCACTAAAAACTTATATTAAAGTGCCCGTTAATCAATAACTAGAATATACCGTCCCGTGAAAATACTAACACTTGCCGCCGTGCTTAAAACAATTTATATAGTGCTAGAGAATAGCTAGAAACTATTAAATATCTTATTATCATTTTTCGATTTATAAAGAGGCTTTCAAAATGCTTGTAAGAAAAGATAACTACAAATATTCCAAAATATTAAGAATATAATATAGCTATAGCTATATAATCATATTTTTCCACCTCTTGACAAAAACTTTCCTGATATGGTTTTCGGTATATTTTTGCTAATCCGTGTGGTCACACTGATTTTAAGGAAGGATAAAAATCCGTGAGTATCCTGCTCGCCAAAAAAAGGATTTTTAGTTGATTTCAGCAGCAGCAACTCGTCGGATTCGTTGCGCGTTTAATTTTCGCGAATTTCCTCCAAAGCTCGTACAACTAAAATCGAAGTAAAAGAAAAATAACATCCAAAATGCGGTGCGGTTTAAAAAAATAAATTTTCGAATCCTTTTTTGAAATAAAAAGTGCAGAAAGCACAACGACAAAGTGAGAAATATACCGAGCAGTGCAGTAAATAACATAGAATATACATCAAAATGTCGACAGTTGTGGAACAGGTGAGAGGGAGTGTATATAATGCTAATCAAATATCGAAAAGAAATCCTTTTTCATTTGCCAAGCTTATATAAACGGAGATTATCAGTCATTTGGCGAAATGTTACGGTATTTCGACTCCAAGACCGCCGACTGCGTAACATTCAGTGTCAGTGTCTGTCAGTCTGCAAAAGAATGTGTTTGTGTATGTCCATTAGGGTGGCTCAAAGGACAAAGAAGACGTAGTTAGATAGTGAAATTTAGTCTTATCTATGGGCAGGGTCAGTACATTTAGCTATTCATAATTTAAGGGAATAACATGAAATAAGTTTTAAATTTGAATTGAAAAAATAAATTTTTATTTATAAGTTTTGAAACGAATTAATTGTCTTTCACATGGTTTTACAATTTCCTGCAAAGATTTTTCATACAAATAATCTCAGATTTGGAGTCACCCTAATTTACACGATACTCCCGCCTTTGTGTCTTAGTCTGCGTGCGTGTCTGTGTTTGGTTGTTTTTGCATTTCCATGGCAACGTAACGGCAACTTCCTGAACGCCCGCCGCTTTCGATTTGACAGTAAAATTCGATTAATTTCTAATCGGCAGAAATCAGTGTGACAAGTGCAGACGACTCCTGGCCAAATATAAATAGCTGCCATTTTGCAAACCAATTTCAATTCCCCATTCACCCACAGCACACACATACATATAGCACTCACACCCACATATGTACTATACAAACACACAGGCGCGATGTAGCATGCAAATTCGGTTTGCTCTTGTGGGTGTGGGTGAAAGTGTCCTAGTATCGGTGGCCTGGTGTCGGCGAATTGACATTTTGTTGCACAAAATCCTTCATCCTTCAACCGTCGACCATTGCCGAGCGCCTTGGGCCATTTTCAAGTGCAGTCACACTCCCCAATCGACTCGACTTGACGTCATAAATGCATAATGAAGCGGTTGCTATTTCGCCAACAGTAGAGCTTCGAATTGTGAAACTTGTATTATTTTTAAATAATACCTATGCTTGTTAAACTAATAAACAGTTTTAAAAGGATTAAAATAGATTCTGAAATATATATAGTATTCCATACTTCTGTATTAGTTTTCTAACTAAAAAGTTTCTACAATGTAAATAAATGCATATTCAGGGAATTTTTTGATAAATTATGCAAATATTTATTCACATTTTAGGTTCTTTATTCAATTTAAAAATAAATCTATCTTGCAAGTTTCATACTTTATTTTTATTTTGCAAAGAGAAAACATAAACAAAGAATTAATTTGTTGAGTAGTTTTTATTTTACCCTCTTTGACCCAATTTGTTGTTGACATTCATTTAGTAAAATGGCAAATGCCATTCGGCTTTATTATTTCAAATTCGTTTGACTGCATTTGGCATTTTTATTAAAGAAATATTTTTGTCATGAAAGTCACAGTCTCTGTGAAAAGTATAATAATAATATCATAATTAATTGAACTTTTTTTGCAACCTAAATTATGCCAGCTAATAGAAAAAGTTTTGCGTAAGTACATGTGTGTTATAAACTGGAAGATCCTGTTATTCACATTAGCAAAAAATCATCGCTACTTTGGTAAATTACCCTCAACCTAAGCTGATTTAAAGATTTCCCTTTGTTCTTCCGTTCAACTTTTCCAATTTCATTTAATTCCTGCAGCAAATCCGTCTCTTTCCCTGCCATCGTGGCTTTAATCAATTCCCCCCAGCTGGGACCAAGTAAAACTTAATATTTTCCTACTGGAATTTCGCAGCGAGTCCTGTGTTCTCCTTGATTTTCATCCTGTCAAGTCAAAGTCAGTGGAACTTTTGTTGCATACTTTTCTGGGCGCGCATGTAGCGCGAGTCATTACGTTTTATAGACTTTATAAGAAGTTTCGTTTATGCAGTTTGCTCGAAACTTTTCACCTAGGTAAATGCATGTATATGCGTATGTATCTTTGGCTTTTTGTTCGCCTTGGAATTGTGGTGGCAAAATAAACATTCCACTGTTTCGGTGAGGATCCTCCTTTATGGCCCCGGCCATTAAAGTTTTTCCAGCCAACATGCTGCTGATGGATGTAACGTTGAAAATCGGAGCCATTACTCCTGCGGTTGGCAAATGCTGAAGTCATAAAATTAATTTAGAGAAAAGCTGGCGCTTAGTTCTTTAGAAAATGTTGCCAAATTGTGGCTGCTAAAAAATCACAGAAAATAGTTTTCATATGAAAACTAGTTTGATGTTTTTGCAAGACTTAAAAAAGAAACTTTTGACAAAGTACTTTTAAATTTTTAAATACTTCTAACAAGTTTTTCAGTCATAAAACTAATTTTTAAAAGCCTTTAAGCAAACAAAAATGAAATCTAACTATTATAAAAAAAGAGGTAAAAATCCTTAAAAAATCATGTAAATTCTGAGAGCATCTTAGCTTGGCCTACTATTCCTGATATCTCCTTTTATTCCTTAGACCGAAGCTCCCCTGAAACCTGAACTTATAATAAAATATTTCAATGCTTGATGCTTTAATTTATGCGGCCATAAAGGCCAAGCGTCTGATATACATATATATACATAAATACATAAAAGTAGCTACACCGTCAAGTGCAACACATAGGCTAACTATGCGTCCCCCTTTTTAGGCAGCATTGTAGCCCCCTTTTTTTCAGGCCACCTTTGTTGTTACGTGAGCGGCTTCTTCCACCCGGTTTTCATCCCCCATTTTCCTTTTTGTGTGTGTGTGTGCGCCATTTTGTCAGAGCATAAATTACAACTTCAGGTGTAGTTTTGCAGGTGGGGAAAGGTGAAGGCACTACCGTCTGTTGCTGCTGTCACTGTCGCCGGTTGTTGTTGTTACATAATGTTAATGATGCTGCCCCAGCCGGCAAAACGGAAAATGGGAAGAACTAGGAGGGTTGGTAGAATGGGAGGCTGGTAAACTCGTTCATGCTCTCCACCAAAAACAAAAGTCAAAAGAAGAGGACAGGAACTGTCGCTGGTGACCTACGTGTGTACAATAGCCTCTAGTTTACAGGACCTGCATCCTCCGGCTGAATGATGTCCTGCGTCCTCGTTATAACCATTACATTGCCATTTTTGTACTCTTTAAATTGGCAGGATATTGTTGGGAGGAACTTTGTTAAGGAAATATATATATTAAGGGCTTATCTCTGTCTGACAATTTAAATTTAAATACCATTTTTAGCCCTAACAATTATAAAAGATATATGATAAATTATTTTAAATTTAGAGACTCCATTTTTAAAGTTGATTTTCTGGTTTATGGAAGACAAATGACCGCTCTTTATTAAGAGCTAAAATATCTGCTTTTCTAGCATTTATTAAAAGCCACATTTTTACGAGCACATAAAAATAAGTTTTCTTTTTTCGAGCGACCACATCGCCCTTAATCCTTTGGTCCCCATATCCTGGGATAAGTGTATATATAACATCTGCTGACTCATGGTTTTTTCATCTCTCGGTTCTTGGTCCTTGGTCCTTGGTTCTCGGTTCTCGGTTCTCGCTTCTCCATTTCCTTTTCATATTTGCTGTCCCCTGCATATTATTTCAATTTGGCGGTGCAACAAAAGAGTTTTCCTCAGCTTTTTCCCCACCCGCCTTCCGTTGTGAGTCACATGGCGTATGCGTAATGCAAGAGCAAGGCTGCATCCCAAACCAGTTTCCCCAAGGATAATGGAGCTCGTTATGCTTATTTGCCCGCCCAACGACACACACTCGCATGTGTGTGGAAAAGGAAATTGCCCCCGAGGTCCTGGCATGCACACATGCACACCACGCACACACACACACCCCAATACACCCACATGAAACCGAAACGAAGGGATATCTGCAGGGTTCATGGCCCCGAGCTGACCGCCAATGGACTGCATGCCGTAAAATTGCTTGCCCTTTGTGCATCCTTGATGTGTTCATCTGTCCCGGGCACTCAAGGTCAAATCCTAGATGTTTTGATTTAATTTATTGCCGCATCCATTTGATGGCTCGTAAAATACGAAATGAGGGCCAAGGATATACCTGCGGGGGATTTTGGTCAAAAATATAAATAATATTTTCAGTTCTTAAACTTATTTGATATAAAGTTTTAAAGTTTTTTATTTATTTATATTTATTTATCTAAGGCTAACAATTAGTTAAAACTAAGAGCTAACAAATGGCTAGGAGCAATAGCAGCTAGGGCCTTCAGCTCGGCTTAAGTTAGAATATGGCTTGTGAATGTTTGGCTTATGAGTATATACAAGATATTACTATGGATTTGAATTTGATTTTGTTCGATTTGGGAGGTGATGTGGGAGTTGTTTAGGAATTTGAGGATGTTTAAAGAGTTTGTATCTGTGGGGTTAGCTATGATGGTGATTGGATCAGAAAAGAAAGTTTGTTTGGGTCGTTAGCTGCACAAAACTGTCTTTTTTTTGGTTCTGCGTCTTTCTTTAACAAAGTTATAAGCATAAGACTAGGGAAAAATATCTCAAATTTTATTCAAAAGTCACAATTTTCATTTTCAGCTCAAAATATCAGTATTTCCCTCATTAAAGACCCAAAAATTATCGTAACATGGAAAGTTATACCTCGTTGAGTTTGTATTTAAATTCCCCGTCGAACTGTGTACCACACTCAAAAAGTGATTTTTTGAGAATTTTCGTAAATTTTTATGATGTTCAAAAAATGCGAAAACCGTTTTGTCCCGTTTTGAGGCTCAAAATATCAGTATTTTCTTCATTACAAAGCCAAAAATGGTCGGAATCTGTAATGCCATATGTCGTTAGGCTTGGTTTTCAATCTTTTTTCAAAATATTGAAGTTCCATTCAAATCCGAAGGAAAAAATATTTTTGGAATTTTTGGAAAAAATGATGATGGTACCCCTTACAAAAAAGTGAAATTTCAGAAAAATTTTAATTTCCGAAAGTCAACTTCATACCCAGATAGAAAGTTTTCTGGGGTCGTTAGCTGCAAAAAAACGGATTCCTTTTGTTTGTGGCTCTTAATTTGACAAAGTTATAAGCAT